AATTAGTTAGCGGTTTTTTACTCACAAGTATTCTTATGCCATGACAGCCAGAATCCTGTTTTTCCCCACAAATGCAGTGGTCTATCATGCATGCATTGGTTCTTGTATGCTAGTTGTGTACACCATTATTCGCTTGTGCTAGTGGAAACCCCTTTGCTATAAACAGGGTGATCTCCAGCTCATTGCAACTGCCAGCTGGAGATCGAGCAGAGCACACTGTGTCTATGGAGCATCTGCACTCTGCATTGTACAAGAGCATCTCACAGTGCATTTTCTAAAAACCACAGCATGTTATGTGCATTAGGTTGTGTGAGACACAAATAGGCAAAAATCTATGAATGAACTCTTGGAGAAACAAGAGTATTTTAGATCCCTTTTGTATTATTGATTTGTATCCAGTAGATGTAATAGATTTTAGTCAGATGTAGTAAGAATAAACTGGGAGTTGGCCCACTGTGGATCATATTGTATATGGTAAATTGGGATGCAGAATGTAAAAGATAAGTTTTGATCTGCTATATCAAGAGGTGTTCATATTCTGTACACACAGTTCTATATGTAAAAGAAGGTTATTCAGTTTGTATAGGTAAAGGTTCCACTTAACGTTTAGTCCAGTCGTGTCCAACTCTAGGGTGCGGTGCTCATCCCTGTCTCCAAGTTGTAGAGCCAGCGTTTGTCCAAAGACAGTTTCCGTGGTCACGTGGCCAGCACGACCAGACATGGAATGCCGTTATTTTCCCACCTAGGTGGTACCTATTTATATACTCGCATTTTTACATGCTTTCGAATTGCTAGGTTGGCAGGAGCTGGGACGAGCGACGGGAGCTCACTCTGTCACACGGATTCGATCTTACGACTGCTGGTCTTCTGACCTGGCAGCACAGAGGCTTCTGTGGTTTAACCCGCAGTACCACCATGTCATGTGTTGAGAATTTCTCAACACATACTTCCTCTAAATCATTTGAGTTAGACTTAGACTTAGATGTGTTTGGGTTCCATTTTAATTATTGTTAGAAATTATTCTTGAGTTAAGCCCCACTGATTTCAGTGGGAACTAACTGCGACTAAGTCTGAACCCCGATCAATTATTATGTGGGCAGTTGAGGTTCTTTGGAAGGTGGTAGGAAATCAGGTATAGGATGATCCCGAGAGCTTGATATTATCTACTGTATGTGGAAAGACAAAATAGCTCCTGAACTGCAATCCAGTGGGTATTATGTAGAAGTAATATCTGTTGACCTTGGTAGGACTTAGTTTTTGCAACAGGTGAGAATATTTCACTCTGTAAATCAAGTAGAAGATTGATGACCAGATGCCCTAAGCTGGGAGCTAACTGAGTTCATTGTGCTTGGGTGCAAGCAGAATATTAATTGTGCATTTAAAATATGTGGTTACAGCTTTCATGATTTTTACTATCAACTAACCGGCAAGTGTTATTACATTGATACGAAAGCTCGTGCCCCATATTTTGAAGAAAAAGGCTCATGAGGACTTACCACATTTATTACCGTATTTGTTTGAATTTTCTCAGCACATACTTGTTTTGTGATGTTAATAGCAAAATGCCTTTCTAAAAAATTGCCTTTTGACTGCTGTTTCTTACTCACAGTTTTAATAAAGCATGTGATGAGATAACATCTATAGAAAGATCGCTACCATGCCCTTTTCTTAATAAAACCACCTGGATTTAATAAATTACCATTTTTGAAGTGTTTGCGACTTACTTCACTTTGAGAGTGACTTTTTGTTTTTAACAAGATAGAATAATGCATTAACTTACTTTTAAGAGAACAATGAATTCTTGATGTATGAATGTGAGGTCAGAATTTTTCTGCCAGGAGTTGCTTTACATGTTAGGAAGTGCAAGACATTATGGTGACATCTCTCTATCTATCCCTCCCTCCCTCCACAAAGCTTACATTCTCCCCTGTAGCAAAGTGCATGAGCTTCTGGAAGTCAGTCATCTAACAGCAACATCTGGACATCTTTTTTCTACCCTTTGCTGAAATGTTTGGTTTTAAATATGTAGATGCATTTAATATATTTGTATTTTACTGACAGAATCTGTCCCAGGACTCTAGTACATAAACAGTGGGATTAGCCCACCCATGCCTTGCTGCAGTTCCTGTGAAAACTGCATAAATGCATATAGCTAATAGCCCTGAGAGGGAAAAGTGAGAAATAATTACACAGTCCTCTGTCTAGCATAATAGCTTCAACCCTGTCCCTTTGCCCCCAGTTGCATTATTTTGAATAATTAAAAAAATCAAATTCATTCAGTGCATTGATGCATTTAATGTCACATCTATTTTGGTCCTGAGTTCCACCTTCATGTTACCCTGGAAATGCTAAAGGGAAAGAAAGCACAGTCTGACTTCTGCCGCTGCATGGCAGAGCCAGCTTTGGCACACATTCAGTATAATTTCAGTGAGTAGCAGAGATGACAAGTGACCTCTATGTTAAAACCATTTTCATCCATACAGTTCAGATTTTCTGCTGTGCCATGTTTCAATTTCCTGTCTGTTGAAACATTAACAGACACAGAACAACTTGATGAGTACAAAAAGCCTTGGGCATTAATGCAGTCAGAAGAAATTATCTTCAGAATTCTGCTGGAGCTTCTTTAGAGATGTTTCAAGTCTCCTTTAAAATACTATCTGGAATCCATTTGAAAACCTATACCCATGTAACGCCATTGGAGTAAAGTTCAGCTGCAAAACTGCTGCAGGTTAAGAACTCAGTATTGTCAGTTGCTGTCACATCCTGTGTCATATGACTGGTGTGTGACAGCAAATGCCCATATTGACTTTTAGCTTGCAGCACTTAGCCAATGAAATTTATGCAGATAGAATGTGCTGGTAGGTACAATTAACAGGATTCTGGGCAATACAGTATTTTTAAAAAATTTCAGATTACTGACTATTGCAAATAGCATCCAAGGCATATTCCAAGGCATGCTTTTCTTTATGCCAATTTAGCTGCCCTGGCTCCACTCTCTGAATATTTTTTATCTAAGTACTACAGAGCTGGAAGGAACCTTATGGATCGAGTCCAACCCCTGTCAGGGAGGTCCAGTGGGGAATTGGACTCTCAACCTCTAACCACTATGCTATCCAGCAGTTCTTCTCTGTAGTTTAATTTCATCTTCATTGGTAGAATAAGAGAACTTGCATTTTTAGGCAGTAAATAGGTAAAGGATTAAGTATGGATGAGGAATCATTGGCTGCCCAGATGTTGCTGGATTATACATCCCATAATTCCCTCACTGTTGGCCATGTTGGCTGGGACTGAGGAGAATTGGAGCCTAACAACATTAGAAGAGCCATAAGTCTCCCTATTCTAGAATTAAACTCTGCCAAAACCACATAAGGACTGTAAATGGAAAGTTACTATACGTAGCTTGATTGTGAAACCATACACTTTTAAATCACCAGAGGTTCTAAAGCAAGAGGAATCACACTTCCTGATGTACCTCAGGCGTAAATTTGCGGTATTTTTATTCTCTCCTCTTTGAAGGTTACTTCTGTATTATTCACCATTGCTATTCTTAACCACCCTTTCATCTTGCCATCTTTTCATATCTTTAAGAGTCCTGTAGGTTATGTTAAACTTTTGTCAAGGTTAAAGTCCAGGTAAATCTCACAGTTGCTGATCCCCCAAATTTAGGGAAGAATGAACAACTGCATAGCCTCATATTCTCAAAGAAGCTAAACAAAACAGAAACAGCATAACTTGTAGATACGAATTACCATAAATTAAGAAATCTCCCTAAACCTTATCTTCTTCATACTGAGGTGTGCAACTTGAAGTGCAACAAATAATCCTACATAGATTTTCTAATTTACAACAATTCATATCAAAAAGCTACAACCTTTGTGTAACTGTGCAACAGGATTTCAGCCCCTGTGTCAGCAAGGTAATATTAAATTACTAATGATCTGATTTTGTTTATCGAGGCAAAACAATGCACTTGATTGTGATAGTCTGCTGTCACAATCGTTACCTTATTCATTATCCTGCCAGTTCTGAGGACTCAGTTGTAAGAATCCTTTCTGGTAGTTGAAAGAAAGGCAGCCTCCACTGCCAGTTCTTAGAATTTTAACAGATTTTCACAGAGGAAAAGCCATGGTGATTTTCTTCCAGGAAGCTGTGACTGAATGCAGGCTTTTATTTGGACACCAGTATTAAATTCTTGCTTCTTGTTTTAACTGCTGGCTGTGTTCTGTAGACTGCTGCTAAGCTATTGATGTACAGCATTAATTGCTAGCTACTGCACAGTTGCATTTCTCAAATGTTCAGTGCCTTTCATTGTTGCTATTCAGGATATTGTGGGTAGCTACTATATCTGAAGTATGTTTTACTTGCTTGGTTACTATGAGCTATCATCTTAGATCTTGTGATGTTCAAACACCAAATGACATGTCAGATGATATCACTCCGACTTCCTTTTTCTGTTGATGCAGTTGTATTATGCTTTTCGCTTCACAGGCCATCTTTGATTTTTCAAACGTACAAGGTCTGTCTATAAGTCATTTGGAATGAGGAAATGGATTGCTACTCCTTTTTGCTGTTAGAAATTATATTATCTGCTGATTGCTGCAGCCAGTGTGGCATTTTCAGAGTAATTTGTCCAATCCACTATACTACAAAATGCAAATCAGTGCCTGAAATACAATTGAAGGATACATACTTTTCATTTTCTCCTGCTTTACTTCTATTTCATTATTGTAGAATGGCTTTATTACTCTGAAGAAGTCTCAGATTCATTCTAAAATCCTTGTTTTTCTTTCTTTAAGCCATAGATATGTTTTATCTGTAAATATATAATTGAACTAGGCTTTAACAGCTGCTGCCAGTTTGAAACTATATCTTATAAATTCCTGCTGTGACACCTTGTTCCATTCCTGCATTGTGTAATGCTTATTCTTCTTGGGTTTGAGGGTGTTTGGGGTGCTTTACTACTTACAACATGAGATACAGTTTTCTGTTTGTATCGGCAGTCTTCTGTCTGTGAGATTTGGACCAGCCAGAATGCAGGATATCCTTACACAGCAGTTCATCAGGTTCATAATGTAAGATATTTTCAACAAATGGCTACGTTTGTCACTGTATTGCTGTCTAGTGTGTTGCCTTGGTGTTGTAATACCTTATGCAGGCTACCATGCTTTTAAGAGTTCAAAAAGCAATGTGTAACATCCAATTTCCAGGACAGTATCTGTGTGTTTATAAATTTGTTTTCATAGTGTGCAATAACTGTGTTGGTTTTGTGTAACTGGATGCTGTTTTTTAAAGCTTTAAAGTCTCAAAATTTTTCTTTAATGACCCCATTATCTAAACTTTTTTTTAGGTGGTTGTCTCTGTTCAGCTTCACGCACAAAAATAGGTGCAAATTGCATAATTTCTGCAATTTCACTTTGTTTTGTGCCTTTGCCTTTCTGTGATAAAGGTGGATCCTCTCTTTAGTTTCTTGGTGCCTTTTTCTAAACTTGAAACTTCACTGATGAGACACTTCAATGTATATTTAGCAAACATGGTCTTACAGTACACCATCACTTCTAAACAAATCTGCACTGATTTTTGGACACAGGACGGCTACAATCCTTTGGCCACTGGGAAGGGTGCTTTGGGGGAGATGCAATATTTGACACACCCCCCCTACATGGCAGTTATACAACTTTCAGTGGCTGTACAGCCCAGGATGGCAGAACTCTTGGAGCAGGGGAGTAAGTGGATGGAGGCCATGGATGGCGTGAAGAAGGTTCTAGATATGATGTACATTGAGATCTGCCAACCCTTTTACCACATCCTGAATATTATGGAAAGCTTTGGACCAGCCTTTGTTTAAATTGTTTGTAACAGTGAGGCAGTAAGTTTTAAAAAAGCAAAATCAGGAGGAAAGAAGATGCAAAAGCACTCTTTCTTTTCTCCGAGCCAATCATGGAGAAAATCAGCATTGTGACAGGAGTGATCTGGACCATCTTGATGCAGTACCCTTACTTATGAACTGTATCTTCAGTATCACGCTTAAGTTTATCTTTATGTCCACCTTCTAATATGGCACACATACTATTTGTTCTTTTTACTTGTGTAAAATAGGCACCTGATCCACAAATCATGTGTTTGGGTGCATATTCTTCCCTCAAATGATGTATTAATATTTGTGTTAAGAGAAGAAACATATGAAACAACCTTCAAGTGTAGATCAAAAAATCAAGAATGCCACAAAAATCTGCACTTTCATTTCAACCAAATAGTATCAGCCCTAAAAGAATATCAAGTTTAAATAATACAATATTTGTATGTATTATTTGTTAGCATGAACAACTACAAGTAGCTTTAAGGAGTTGTAGACAATTAAGAGGGATGGACTGTTTTATCTGAACAGATTCATAAGTATGTCATCTGAACTATAATTGCTGCATCAGCTTATTAGGAAAAGATGAAAGAGAGCTACAAGTCCACCGAGACCCCCTGCTGAGATGTTTGGCAAACCAGTCTCTCGAGACTGAAGGATGCCTAATCTCTCTGTCTCATACTCAAGGTACAGGGAAAAAGCCTTGAGATGAAGGGGAAAACCAGCACTTTCAGTGACTTGTTCCTACATTGCATTGAGGGCATTAATCAGGAGAGCAACTTTTTGTTTGCTTCTCCCATTTACTGTTCGGTTTCTGGGATTTATTTCAGGGAGAGAAGGGAGTCTCTAGAACTGGGAGATCTAGGACCCCCTTGAACGTGACTGGAATTCTGCTGCAATTTTGGTGGAGTAGAACCAGTGGGACATCTATGCCTTTGGAAGTTCATGCACACATGCCAAATATCAAACCGAGCAGTTGTTTCCTGCTAGCACCAGATATGCTGCTTACTGTGTTTATATTGACAACAAATCATGAGTTATAGAAAGAAAATTATCTATTTGGAATTGCATTTCAATTTAATAAAACAGTTGCTTGTGGCATGTGCACCCCAAAAAAAAATAAAACCCATACAATTAGGGGCTTGTTTTATTGATGCAATGTTAAATTTAGTTTCAACCATTACAGAGGATTTATAGTGAATGTTTCAAACAGAATCAAGTATATTTAAGTCCCACTGATTTTAATGGCACTTACACATAATAAAAACTAGAGCATAGGTGCTTGGCTGGATGGTAACATAGATTACAGTACTGATTTGGCTTCAAGATAAGTATTTAACAACAATCACTTCTGTGTATCTCGAGTCGTAATATATCTGTATGTCTACAGCCAAAAATCTTGTTGTGTAATTTATCTGTGGAAAGGTGATGACGTTTTCAGCAAGAAGTGATTTTTGGCAACTAAAAACATCCAATTTTCATCCAACAGCTTTTCCAACACGCACATAATCCCTTTCATTGTGTGAAAGTTCTGGGAGCTGATAGGAGGAAAATGTTTTTGATTACTGAAATCACCACTTCCAGATGATGTTGCAGGTGGAAAGAATCTTTCTATAGGTAAATACTTTTTCCTCCTGTACCATGGCTCCCACATTTTTCATATGATGAAGGGGATTAAATGGCAATAGGAAAAGCTGTGGGACAGAATTAGGAAGTTTTTAGTTACTGAAAATCTCAACTTCCCAGTAATGCCATCGCCTTTCTGCAGGCATAGTTACACTCACAGGATGTCAATCCAGGTAGATCTTTTTTTCTATAGTTGTGTCAGAGCACTGCAGAATTTTAAATGATTGATGCATATGAAAATTGAAAACAAATTAAAATGTTAAAATAATTAAGTGTTTTTTACCAGAAGCAGGCTATTTTTAATTATGTTATTTCAGCCATTTATTAGATCTTCTTTTGTACATGTAGTAGAATATAAATTACACACACATAAATGCTGCATCGATTGACTTTCTCCACATTCATATAAAATTTGTCCTGTACCAAGTTGTCTGTTTCCATGATTATTAGATAGATATCTGTACACATATTTATGTCAGATTTCGCTTACCTTTGTTTAGATTCAGTGCTATTCTCTATCACCTAAATTGTAATTTTATCAATTAAATTAAGATAGGAGTGGGCAGATGTGGATTCAAAATGTTTTTAAACTGCAGTCTCTTATTGTTGGCTCTATTGCCTAGATCTGATTGGATTCCTAAAACATTTGGGGGTCACAGATGCCCACCTACAAGGTAAAATAAGTGTAATTTTTACAGACGTTTCTGTGTCCTGATCTGGAGATTTTTAATTTCTTTATATATGTTGCTTTCTGGCATTGAGTACCAGAAGAACCAATATTGATTTTTAAAAATATAAAATCTGAAAGTATAAAAGATGTAAACTTATGTAACTGTAGGAATCCATGATCTCTTTTAATTAAGCACTGTGTGTGCAGTATTTGCAAGTGGACCTTTTACTCATAATAAATAAATAATTTATATTTAAAATACAGTGGTACCTTGCTTAACGATGATAATTGGTTCCCAAAAAATCGCTGTTAAGCTATTTCATTGCTAAGCGAAACATGGTTTCCCATAGAAATGCATTGAAAGCCGGATAATCCGTTCCAATGGGAACGGATTGCCGTCCTTAAGCGAAAATCGCCATAGGAAACATCGCTAAGCGAAACACGGTTCCCCAATTGAAATGCATTGAAACCTATTCAATGCATCTCAATGGGGGGGGGGGAAATTACAACAAATTTAAAAAGAGTCGGAACAAAGTCAGATTAGTTTAACAAAGGGTTTATTAAGTGCACTTATGATTTCAAACATTCTAAACATTTTTAAACATTTTTAAATATTTAAAAAACAGCCAACATGAGGCTGTCAAAACCATCGTTAAGCGAAACGGGGACCCAAACTGTCATTGCTATGCGAAGCATGGTCCCAAACATCGCTATGCGAAAATCACCCATAGGAACCATCGTTAAACGGAGCGCAAGATCGCTCCGAAAAAGTCATTGCTAAGCGATTTCATCGTTAAACGAAGCAATCGCTAAGCGAGGCACCACTGTAACAGTCTTCAGTGCACAGTGGCTCTGCCTTATGCCTATTGGTTTGTGGTTAGTTCAGTAGTGAGGTACAGAAGGGTGCCTATCTCTGCTTTTAGTACGTTCAGTAGTGAGGTACAGAAGGGTGCCTAAGCTGTCTCTGCTTTTAGTATTCCTTGCTAATTTCATGTTTTCCAATGCTTGAATATCAAAGTTACTATGCTTAACATAAATTTTCTCAGAGTAGGACATATTTATCTTGGTAAAAGATTTTTTAATGGGAGCTTTAACAGAAGCAGGTATCAAGTATTCTGTCATGTTATAAATAGTCATGACATGCTGAGCATTCTGGGAAGAAAGTAATTTTGGAGAATAATTACTATTCTTTCACTGACATTAATAAAATTATTTAAATAAATGGATGACACTTAAATATTGTCAATTATACAAAATCATGGTTTCTATAAATAATGAAAACTCCTGAAGATAATATTATAGACAGAGTAAAGTAGAAGACCAGTTTTGTGTGTGAGAGTTAAACTTCATCTATCTAAAAGTATTTTTCCCTGAATTGGATCATGCCCTATGATCTGCAAACCGATAAAGGGCTGACTGGCATTTTATGACATATGTTTGCCACAAGTAACTGACAGTAAATAGTGTAAAATGCGATGAGAAGTTTATGTAAGTGTGCAGTTTGGCAACCTATTGCAGGTCCCGCATACATATCCGCTGTATGTCTTTGGGTGTTTGGAGATTTGTCTTTATAATATTCACTAAGGACCACAACAGTACATGAGGCAAAGATTTCTACACCAGACATGGGTAATATGGAACTCTCCATATGTCATTGGATTGTATTTCCCAGAGATTGGCACTGATGTATTGCAATCAATTAAATAATGGCATTTGCTAATTTCAGTGTCAGTTTCAAGAGTGCTTGACTGAAATTTGCTTTTTGCATAAATGTTGCTTCAACAATATGTTAGATTAGTGATCATCAGAGAATGTGAGGTCAGGACAGGTTCAAGAAAGTCTGTTGCCCAAGTAAATTGTTTTGAACACTCAACAATCATGTCCTCCTTGAATACAGGAAGTAGTGGAATGTAGCAATGCTGTTGTGTGTAGTTTTTGGAAGAGTACATGCCTGGAAGAAGTGGGAGGGGAGGAGAATCAACTAATCTCCCTGAAGAGGATGCTCTGCCTCTTTGCAGGAGACACTGCAAGTGGTGTGCATGTGAGAGAAAGAGACAGAATCAGAGACTTGGGGACTGTATAAGAAAAAGATGAGATGAGACACAAGTAAATAACTGAAGGTAAAAAGACAAAAAGGTGATTTTTTTTTCAGCAACTGAAATCCATTGCCCTCTTCCTTGTTGGAAAATTTCATGACTGTTGTTAATTAGGGCAGGGAGGAAAAAAAAGTGGTTTTGCTGGTGTAATTGACAGTGGATTTTTTAAAATTATGTAGATGTTTCCTTCAGTCCAAACTAAAACAGGACAAGTAGGAGTTTGGGAGTAAAATCGCCTGTGAATTGTTTTGCCTTTATTTTATTTATTTATTTATTTATTTTGCCTGAACTCATACAGTTGTAGTGTAGTAAAATATGTTTACAATCCAATGAAAAATTAATGTTAATCTACAATTCCCCTTTCAACATAGATGTAATTTGTTTAGTAAGTTTAGTACATTCATGGTTAACGTTTCCGCAAAGTTATCAGTCCTTGGCAGTCCCCATGGCTTGTTGTGGATAGCTATTCCCCATTGAGTATGCTTGCTAAGGTGGATGGGAGTTGTCATGCAACGACATCCTGAGAACCACAGGCTTCCCATAGCTATGGATTACATTAGTGGATGAGTTCATTGGGTCCCTAGTTTCCAGAATTTCAGAGTCTAAAAATGATATATTATGAGATAGTAAAAAGAAAGCACACAAGGCATTGTTTCTATTAGGCCCTCAGCCTACGGCTTCCTTTAGAATAGATAGATGAGAAAGAATAGATTTAGATCAAAGGAATACTTTGTAGGGAATGATTGGCTATTTATACCAGGGGTCCCCAACCCCCAGTCCGCAGCCCGATGCCAGTCCGTGGGCTGTGCAGGACCAGGCTGCGGAGACAGATCTCCTGCCTCTGCACACATGGCGGGCTTGGCGCACTCACGCACATGCATTGGTGAGTAGGCACCTTTGCAGATGGGCAT